GATCAGGAGTGGAAGGACGTAGACTCAGACATCGCTCTTGTCTTCGCTCTCACGTTTTCTTTGCAATAAAGAAACCTCGTACACTGTAGTTGTGGGTTCAGTGGTTTGTTTGCGCAGCATCCTATTGCCAGCGCGCACGCCCTGTAGGCTCACCACATTTTGGCGCAATCGACAGGATTCCTACAGTCGGAGTAACAGTGTACGAGAGAGGCAGAGAGAGTGGTAGAAGAATATGCTGGGGGGACGGAGTACGGCTGGCAACGATCAGCCAGCTGGAGATCAGCCTGGTGGTGTCCCGAAGGAGCCCGCTGGACAAAGCTGGAGGGTCTGCAAGGCTTGGTCAGAGGGCTGCAGGATGACCAGAAGCGAGTGAATGACACCATCGATCAGCTGGGATCTAACGGGCATCAGCCTCCTGCTCCTGCCCTGGTCTACCTTCCCTGAGAGAGGAAGGTGGACGTCTTCACGGGCCATGGTCAGGGACAGCCACATTGGAGGAGTTCATCCTTGGCGTACAGCACCTGCTGAAAGCCAGAAGGCTATCGGGGACCGAGGGAGCAGACTTTGTTCTGAGTCATCTAGAAGGACCAGCACGGCAAGAAACCCTGCTGTGTCCACATGCCCGAGCAGCTGAGGAGGTCTTTGGTACTCTCCATCACGTCTTTGGGGAGGCGCTGTCCGTGCCTCAGCTGTTGCGGGCCTTCTATGACAGAAGGCAGAGTTATGCTGAAAGTCTTAGGACGTACTCCTATGAACTCTCCTCCCTGGTGGAGAAGGTCAGGGCCAGGGGCCATCGGGCCTTTTCGGACTATGAACAAGCTCTTCGTAATCAGTTTGCTGAGGGAGTGCGGGACACTCAGCTTCGGCGCCACTTAAAGCAGATGGTCCGAGAGAAACAGAACATAAACTTCCTCGACCTCCGCGAGGAGTTAGTAGCGTGGATGGAGGAAGACGAGCGGCGGCAGGCAACCCCTTTGGTTGCGGGTTATCACCAGTTACTGCTGGACTCCCCCCAGCACCCTTCTATGCCAGAGGCAGTAACACCACCAGGAGCTGACATGACCCAACTGCTAGCTGCAAGGGAGTGGCAAGAGAGGGCACTGGTTGACCTAACCAGGGCAATAAGGGGCATGGCTACTGCGTCAGTTGCGCCACGGCCAACTCGCCCTACTCATAGG